ACCTACACAGTGAGACTCTGTACACCCTGTACACCCTGTGCAAAATAAAATAAAATAAAATAAAATAAACAAGAAAAAGTCATCTTAAATGTTAATTTCATTCCAAGCTAATGTGCAATTTCAAAATAATTGCTGCTGCTCTGGTCTCAGATGTTCTCCAATTCCCAGGCTTGAGTCAAAAAACAAACTCTTACCCATTTTTCCTCATCCACCTACACCATCTTCTTTGCAGTTTGTGACCCTCACAGAAGTGATGGGTGAAGTACCTCACAGTGAAAAGGCAGGTATAAAAGACACATGTGCTATAATAAAGATAATATTTTAAAATATATAGAAAGCTGTTTGGAAATGTAAAGGCTTCACTTTGCCAGGAACCAAAAAGGCTGTCCAAAACTTAGCAAGGAACCAAAAAGGCTGTCCAAAACTCCAGTAGCTAGTTCAAGGGCTAGCAAATTCCAGGAAGAAGATTAGACTTGCTGACTGGAGACTGGCCCATCAGGCACCAATGTCTCTGAACCCATGTCACCATTCTAGAAAGACACTCATCACCCTGACTCTAACAGGCCCAACTATTCTGGGGATGTGATTAAAAAATCACATGTGGATGGGCCTATTATATGGCTGAGGACAAAAACAGAAACCAGGAGCACAAGAAAAGCACCCCAGAAAGTACATGCCCATGTTTGAGAAGCCCTTCAGTCTTGCTTTCTGATCTAAAAGGGAGGTCAGACCAGATCTAAGTGCTCGCTTTCCTATGCTGGTCCCAAGGCAGTTTGGGGGGAGAAAAGCCTTCCTTGAGCCTTCTTGTGGGATTGAGATTTTATTTAGTGAGTCCCACAAGTTGGCTCCACGACTTAATCTACAGGACGCTCCCTGGACAAACAGACCCTACCTTCCCCTGAGAAGGCTGACCATCCAGATCCTGGGCCTCCTCCTCTTGAGCTAGGAATCCATGAGGAAGTGAGTTAAAGCAACACTATGACAAAGCTACCAGGCAAACTTAGAGAACTGGAAGTTGCCGTCATGTTGATGAGAAAACCACCAGAAAAAAACTATCAGAAAATTAAGTATCATTTTCCCAAATGTTCAGCACCTGTTTCTGTTATGCATTAATACTGAGAGACTCTGAATTATAATTTGGAACAGTCAGAAGAAAGGATGAAGCCCACATTTTTGCTAGTTCAGTAATTGTACATCAACTGTTTTTATATTTGTGCACTATGCCCAGAAGTTGCTAATTTATGTAATATTTAGTTATTTTAACCCAAAACTTTTTATAATAAGCAAGTAGGATTTCTTTCTGGGACAATTATGCTAAGTGCCCATCTAAACAACTATTATTTGGTGGGGGACAACTGCAGTCTCAAGTGGACAACTGAATCAATTAATTCTAGGGTGGGAAATCAGGGAGATACAGAAAGAGAGGGTGTTTACAGAACTGCTAACAAAATGGGGAGAGGGTGGATTCTTTCTTTTGTTACAGATGTCCTGGATTCCTCCCTTTTCATCTGAGGACCTGCTACACTATAATAATTTGTAATGATTACAAATTGAGTTCAAGAGCTCTGAAAAAGAAATGATTTTGAATGGTTGCAGCTAAAAATACTGAAAAGCAGAAAGCTATTTGTATTAGGCGATGAGAACCCTACTTGATAATTCACCTAAGATGAGAACAAAAAGGGCTTAACTGTTGACCTTAATTACCATGTAGGGTAGCAGCGCAGGCAACAGAGGACAGCAACTCCTAGTGCTGCCTAATGTTAATGCTGGTGGGGCCCAAGGCTGGTGGCTGACACTGAATATACAAATGTCCAGGCCACATGTTCAGTTCTCTCTCCCAACTGAAGGCACCGCTCTGCCGCTGGTAGGGAACAGCTTTATGGACAGTTTCCACCCGCTGCTGTCCTATCCCCATCTGATCACAAGCCCAGGAGGCATCCTCTGCTTTCTGTTGCTATAACAATACCTGAGGCCTGATGACTTGTGAAAGAATGAAGAGGTTTATTTTGGCTCACTGTTCTGTAGACTGGGAAGTCCAAAGGTGTGGCACAGACACCTGCTCAGCTGCAGATAAGGGACACGCCATTTCAAACTCAGTGACACTCAAAAAAAATATAGATCTGTCCTGATGGCCTTCTGATCTCCTCCTGAAGGTCATACTTGCCCAATAGCAGCACAAACAGCAATCCATTTCAATGTGAGATTTGGTGGGGACAAATCATATTCAACCACAGCACTAAACCACACAGCCCCCTCCTCCACCAACACCCAACAGTTGGAAAGCACACAAAATAGCTTTCTACTTCTTAAGATTTGTAGGTGCAACAATCCAGGGTCACGTCCATATATGCTTCCCTGACCCTGGGCAATATAACCATCTCTCTTTCTCTTCTTACAGGCCTTCTATTTTCTAGGCCTATCCTAGAGAATAAAATGAAGGAAATAAGCCATAAATCTCTTTTTTTTTTCTCTCTCTCTCTCTCTCATTTGTTACTGAGCCTTAGAGTTAGGCCAATTTTTCTTTTTCAATGGCTCCCTTCATAAGGTCAAATTCTAGCTCAATCTAAGCCTATCTCATTATCAGAGATGTTACAAAGGAGGACACAGAGACTATCATGTATCATATATGTAGAGGGTTTGATGCTCAGGCATCACCCGCACCAGACTGTCCTGATGTGTGGCCTATGGTCAACACGTTAGACACAAGCATCTCAAGTCCACAGGCACAGAACTGGTCCTGAAGCAGGAAAGAGGTCAATTCCTGAGTTTCTCCTTTTAGGGACTCCTCTGAGATAGCCACCACACTGAATCCAGGAATGAGCCCTGGCTGGGAATGGAGAAAGTTCCACACACCCTCTGGATGGACGTACACAACACCTTGGTGCAGGCACCTGAGAAGCCGTCAGAACATCTGCTCCACAGCAGAGCAGCTTGGCCACGCAGCACCATCTGCAATCTAGACATGGAGAGGAAGCGAAGAGACACATCATGAATTCATTTTGCTTTTCCCACTGGGGGTCTCTAAGTGGAGCTCATGGGAGGCTGCAAGGGGCGCATCATGAGACCACCCACCCCACTGTGCATGACCAGGGCAGCTATGGCTGTCACTGCTCTTTTCCTGGATCAAGAGTGCATCTCCCTTCCTACCCTGAGCTGCAGGGCTAGCCGGGCCTTCTACCTGCTGATTGTGTTCTAGGAAGCCACGACAACCTCCCCTCCCACCCCTTCAAGTTTCCTTATCCCCAGCTGTTCCACCTGACTCCCACCTCATCCTCCCCTCCCTACCACTCATTTCTCAAAAACAACAGCCCCACGTACCACACTGCCAGGAAGGACAGGAATGCCAGAGCCATCACCAAAGCAATGGAGCCCAGTCCAACACCCACCATCTGCTCCAGTGTGAGTGACGAACCTGTGTGATGAAGTCACACACTGAATCATCCCATGACCCTCCCAGAAGGCACACAGCCCAGAGACTCTGTCCACTGTACCCTGGAGCTCAGGCCCACTTAACAAGGAATCCAAGAATGCCCCACAGTTTCTTGGTAGCCCCTGAGTTAGTCCTGAAGATGTAGAGCCCCAGGAAACCATAGTTATAAGGGATTAAAAAAAAGCTGATCTTGTAAGAGAACAAATGCTAGACAATGTTTTGCTTTGCATTGGTCTCTTCTCCCTGTCCATTTCCTGTCAACTGCATTTGATACAATTTTTATAGGAAGTTTTCCTTCCTGTGGAGGAAAAGGTCATTTTGTTAACATTTGAATTTTGATTCTAAGGACTGTTGGCTAGCTCCAGTAGTCAAAACAGTAAACAATCATCTGTTGAACTGAGTCACCTGTCATTTTCTTCTTATCTCAACAGAGGATAGTACCAGTCTGTTCTGCTCAGCCGGCTGTTATGAAGATAAAGTCAGAAAAGTGATGTAAAAGCATTCTAAAGGTACACATTCTACTTGGAGAGCATCACGTAGCGTCTCCAGGAGATCCCTGCTTATCAACCCAAAAAAATCCACATTGGAGTTCCACATTTGGGCCAAGTGACCGAATCAGCTTATGTTAGACTGCAGCAGAGGCTCCCTTTTCATTTGCAAGCACTTACTGAACACTTTAAGCACCCCACAAATGTTAACTCTTGTAGTTTCCTAGCCACTTTTTACACTGGGTGCTATTACTATTCCCTTTTTACAAAGAGAAAACCAAGATATGAAGTGGCTCAGTACAGATCCAGTCTCTACACCCATGCTGAGAGCAATTTTTTTCTACCAGGACTCTGCAGGTTACCTGGCACCAGCTAGAGCAGCCATCCCAACCTAAAGGGCAAAGGCAGAGCCCACTGCCTTGAACAGTGTTGTCAAGAGACAGAAAATGTGGATTATGTCACTTGACTGTCTACAGTTTTCCGAAGGGCCATGATACTTTAAGAACCTGGATTATAAAATGGAAGGTATAGTGATGATTAAATTTAAAGTTAGTGTCATATATATTAAAGATATATAGTTATATCATACACATACAAATACACAGTAGGGCAATGGCTTGAATTACCAACTATGAAGACGCTGTAGTATCAATGCATGAATATTTGGGATCAAAATAGAAAACCTAGAAACAAAGCCAACTCCATGACAGCCATTGCAGTAATTGAGCTCCATAGAGATAGCACCGGAGCCAGTGAGAGCCGGACAGGCACTGGGCAACTCTGTATCTCGCTGAGGAAAACAAGTAAACATGGGTAAAGGAGATCGTAAGTAGCAGAGAGGCAAGATGTCATCATCTGCATTCTTTGCGCAAACTTGCCAAGAGGAGCACAAGAAGAAGTACCCAGATGCTTCCGTTAACTTCTCAGAGTTTTCTAAGAAGTGCTCAGAGAGGTGAAAGGCCATGTCTGCTAAAGAAAAAGGGAAATTTGAAGATATGGCAAAAGTGGACAAGGCTCATTATGAAAGAGAAATGAAAATTTATATTCCTCCTAAAGGAGAAACAAAAAAGAAGTTCAAGGATCCCAATGTGCCCAAGAGGCCTTCTTCGGCCTGCTTCTTGTTCTGTTCTGAGTATCACCCAAAAATCAAAGGAGAATATCCTGGCCTCTCCATTGGTGATGTTGCAAAGAAACTTGGAGAAATGTGGAATAATACTGCAGCAGATGACAAGCAGCATATGAGAAGAAGGCTGCTAAGCTGAAGGAGAAGTATGAAAAGGACATTGCTGCCTACCGGGCTAAAGGAAAACCTGATGCAGCAAAAAGGGAGTTGTGAAGGCTGAAAAAGCAAGAAAAAGAAGGAAGAGGAGGAGGGTGAGGAAGATGGGGGTGAAAAGGAAGAAGAAGATGAAGAGGATGAGGAAGATGAAGAAGAGGATGATGATGAATAAGTTGGTTTTAGCACAGTTTTTTTTTTCTTGTCTTTAAAGCATTTAACCCCCCTGTACACAACTCACTCTTTTTGAAGGAAAAAAAATTCAAATGTAAGGCTGTGTAAGATTTGTTTTTAAACTGCACAGTGTCTTTTTTTTTGTATAGTTAACATACTATCAAATGTATGTTTAGCTAGCCCTGTCCTGGTGGTATTTTCTATAGCCACTAGCCTTGCCTGGTACACTAAGGGGGTTGTACATTGGCATGGAAATTTAAAGCAGGTTCTTGTTGGTGCACAGCACAAATTAGTTACATATGAGGATGGTAGTTTTTCATCTTCAGTTGTCTCTGATGCAGCTTATATGAAATAATTGTTGTTCTGTTAACTGAATACCACTCTGTAATTGCAAAACAAAATGTGCAACTGTTTTATTGACATTCTGAATGCTTCTAAGTAAATACAATTTTTTTATTAGTTAAAAAACCCCACAAAAACAAAGCCAACTCCATCAAACCATTTCAAGGCTTGAACACAATTCAGGCTGTGAGTCAGGTTGTTCATGGCTTTATTTGAAACCACTTCTTCCTAACTATGACTGTGAGCCAGTTGTTCTGTCATTTGATGCCTGTTTCTGTATTTAGGGATTCTATAATAACATGAAAATGATAGCAATAGTACCCATTGTACAGGGCGGTTGTGACAAATTAATTAGTTAATATATATTAGAACAGTTGCTGACACAGAGTAAGAAAAAAGCAAATGCTAGCTATTTTAATCATCATTCTTATTATTAAGTTACTATTTCAAATCACTGGAGAAAGGATGAGTTATTTATAACTAGTGTAGAGAAAACTGGCTAACAACTTAGAATAATTTCGATCACTAGAGCTTATACACCAAATAAAATCCAAATGGATTAAAGACTAACATTGAAACCCAAAGGAACTTGAAAATGTTAGTGAATTTGTAATTTAAAGTGAATAGGAATTTTCTAAAGCTATTTATTAATGCAGAAGTCTTAGCTATTTATTAATGCAGAAGAGACTTAGCTATATTAGAAAGAATATATTTCATATTTCAAAAACTACCAGAAGAAAGGTTAAAAGGTAAATGATAAGCTAGGTAAAATATTTGGAATAATAAAGCAAGGGGTTATCATATAGACAGCACTTCAAATTAATAAAGAAAAGACAAATCTCTCAAAAGCAAAATAAGCAAATTCTATGCAAAGAATATGCAAATTTACATATACAACATGATTGGAGAATCAATAAATCTTTGATTAAATACTCTCCTACAAGTAGTGAAAAATGTAAATTAAAACACTGAGATACCATTTTGTATACCAAATTAGCTAAGCATTTGCTTTTTAAGCGGATAGGCAGCACTGGAGTAGGGCAGGGCTGCTGGTACTTTCATTCCCTTCTTGCTTCATCCAATCTATCAGCATTCCTCCCAGCTTGTGTCATCATTTTTCCCTTATATACTCATGATCTAAGTTTTTAATCTTTGATTAACAAAAACACTGAACTGCAGATGACAATGGAGAGAGAGTCACACTCTGCACAGCCTTGCGTTTTATATCAATTCATGAAGTTATTCACGAGTTGACATCAACTGTACAGGGTGAATCAGCCTATGTCTAAGCCTACCTACGGCCACCATGTCCCCACATGGTCCACAAGTCAAAATTCATTGTCCCCGTCATTTCCCTGACCAAGGAGTGACCCTGTGCAGGAGAGCAACCTGACCAGCAGGCTCTCAGCGATCCTGCGCTGCTGTGGGAGCTGCTCCAGCTTCTCCCAGAGACATGGCTCTCTGCTTCCTCACGTCTCACAGATCACTCCAAAATGGTTTATCTATTTCATTTGAAAAATGCATGAACTTGCTAGAATGAGCTTTAACCAGGAGGGAAGACTTAAACCTACATAGATTAGTTAGCTCTTTGCTTGCTTGAATTCAAGTAGCTCCTCCCAAGCAATGGAGCAGAAGCCAAGTAGAAGTCAAGGAACCTGACTTACTCTTGGCTACCCACCAGCAGGCTCCACCCTAAGCAATGGACCCAACTATTCTTTATTCTAGATGTAAGTATTGACAAATGATCCTTAATTGTCTTGCATACCACCATTTAGATTTTGGCTCCTGGCATGATTCTTGCTGGCAGAACAGTTCTTGGTTTTATGACTTTTTATAGACTATGAAAAACCACCAGAGAACTCATGACTAACAATCATACAGGATTCTTTAGGAGCATCATGCATGGATTTCTTACTGAGAAAACTCACAAGTGGGATTTTTTTTTCTTTTAGATTTATTTATTTATTTGGTACAGGGTCTCGCTACACAGCTCAGGTTCATAGTGATCCTCCTGTCTCAGGCTCCCCACAGCTGGGATTACAGGCATGTGCCAGTGACTGGCTCAGCATTGATCCCAGGTCCTTTGCACTTGCCAGGCAGGCACTTAGCCCACCAAACTATTCCTATGGCACTATCCCTAAGGTACCCAATTGGCCAATTTGAATGGTGCTTTTTGATAGCCTTGCCATTCTCTGGCTGTCCTCTTTTCCTCAGTCTCATGTGATAGGATCTTGCTTACTTTTCGTCTGAATCACCCGTAGGGTATTCTTTTAGAAACCCAAGTGAATGACTTATGTGCTACATCCCAGGTCAGTTACTCATTCTCAGAGAATTTAAGGCCATCTTGGTTTTATGACTTTTTATAGACTATTCTCCTTCTAGCAGCTCTCTGAGGAAGGCTAGTGCTCAGCAGTCTTGGGTTCTTCCTTGCCCTTTCATTGATAGAAATATGCCAGGTGCTGAAAATGAAATTAGAAAGATTCTACTCCTACACTCAGACTTGTGACATCTTGAAGACTTTCTTATGGGTATGGAAATTTTTTCCATAAATGTAGACAGGCAGAGTCATTCTCAGAAAGCAATAATTCTAACCACCAAATGATATAAATAGTGTCATAACTTATAGTGTGTTCAACTTCTCTTTGGTATTCTAGTATCTTCTCACTAGAGTTACCTACTAAGCAAGAGGTAGCCAGGAAGAT